GGCATGGGAGGAGGAGAGGTAACGTGGGAGAACGACACAAGGAGGTATAGCAGGATATATGGAAAGTGGGGAGGGCAGGGGAGGAGGTATAGTATGAGTGGGGTTGGAGGTTTGCGAGGAGGAGACAAGGAGGAGGGAGAGGAGAAGAGGGTGAAGGAGCTGACTGGTGCAGGGGGAGACATCGGTATACAGCAGCGAGACCATACGTGGAGCAGGAGGGGAGGTGAGTTTGACATCCTGCTGGACAAGGTGCTGACCTCGTCCTCAGGTGCGGCATATCGTAGAACGTCGGATCCCAAGCACTTCAGCTGGGAATGTCGGGCTGAAAGTCCGAGCTCCCTTTGCCGGTTCGTCTCTACCATCATTCCTTCTCCTCCTCCTCCTCCTCCTTTTCTGCTGCTGCTGCTGCTCCTCCTCCTCCTCCTCCTCCTGACAACCTGATCAGGCTCAGACGCTCGAGACGGTCTCAGCTGGGGAGCACGAGGAGCTCTCGCGCCTCCAGCAGAGGAGCACGACGACACGGTTTCTCAGCTCGCCTTCCTCAGGTGAGATCATCGACTATGAGAGCCCAGCTGACGCCCATCAGGTCCCGGCATGGCAGTCGCATCCTCTCTTCAGGTAAGTCGATGATGGGGAGGAGGGGGGGGAAGCGAGTGAAGGAGCGGCAGGTTGGGACGGGAGTGTCAAGGTCTGGGCATGAGTAGATAAACCTTTAATAGACCTACAAAATACACGACCTTCACCACCTCCCCCGCCCTTCCAGCCGCGGTAGATATCTGTCAGCGACGTCCGCCTGGAGCACAGCTGGAGGAGGTCGACGGTCTCGCCTCAGTATGCTGGCGACGAGAGGAGGAAGCGACGAAGACCTGGGCCTCTCCTCCCTGCCCTCCCGTCAGTATCCCCCAACTAGCAGCAGCAGCACCACCAGGAACTTCCCATCCTCCTTTTCCACTCACTTCCCCTCCCCATCTTCTTCCTCCTCCTTCTCCACTACCATCTCCTCCTCTCCATCCCCCTCCCTCGTTCCTCCCCTACTCCAGCTACTCCCGCTTCCTACCCTCTCGTGTCTCTGTTCTCCCGCTGCACATCCCATGCTGTCGGCTTCGCTCGCGACTCCAAGGAAGCGATCTTGCCGCTGATCCTGCAGCACATCAGCCTCGAGGATCAGGAAGAAAACGCGGGGAGGGAGAGAAAGTCTCAATCCTCACCGAGACTTTACTTCCGAGATCAGCGAAGTTTCATTCTCCGACACTGAGCGAAATGCTGCAACAAAGTCAAATCTCAGCTTCCATCCACCACCTTCCTGTCCCCGTCCTCGTCCCCGTCCCCGTCCTCGTCCCCGTCCTCGTCCTCGTCCCCGTCCTCGTCCCCGTCCTCGTCCCCGTCCTCGTCCCCGTCCTCGTCCCCGTCCTCGTCGTCTCCCTTCCTTCTTCTCTCCAGCTTCTCCTCTTCCCCTCGTGCTGTATTCTCGCTCTACTTCCTCCCAACCGCTCCTTCCATCATCTTCACCTTCCAGTCTCTGGATAATTTCCTCTTGTTGCCTGCGCGAGCGTCATCTACAGCGTCTCCCGCCGCTCCTCACCGGATCTTGACGTCCCTCCCCTCAAGCTCCTTCCTCACCACCAGCAGCAGCCCCTGCGAACTTCCTCGACCCTCCCCCAGCCCCTGCGCTTTTGCTCAGCTCCTCCCCCCAACTAGCTGCGAGCTTACCAGCAGCTTTCTCAGCTTCTGCGAAAAATCTGACCACCTTGCCTGCTCTTCCCTGAGCTCCTGCAGCTCCGCACTCCCTCCTCCTCCTGCCCCCCCCCGATCTTCTTCCCAAGCCTTCTCTTTCTTCTCAAACCCCTGCTCGATCTTCGTCCCCTTCGCTTCCCTCGTTTCCTCGCGCTCCTCCTTCTCCTTCCCTGAATCCTCCGCAGCGGGAGTGGCTGGCGAGCTCTGCTGGGCGACACTGCTGTGTTGTGACTCTTTTTCAGGTTCAAAGTCCAGCTGGTAGCTCAGTTGGGGGCTCGAGATGGAGCGGCAGAGCTGGGAGGGAGGGTCACAAACCTCAGATGCCTCGAGAGCCGAACCTGAGAAACTCGCAGAGGACGAAAGGCAGCGGAAGTCTGCTGGGAGAATCAAGCTGGGAGAGAAGATGCGAGGGAAGAGGAGGAGGAGGAATGGAAGGAGGAGGAGGAGGAGGAGGAGGAGGAGGAGGAGGAGGAGGAGGACGGGGACGGGGACGGGGACGAGGACGAGGACGAGGGCAACACACCGTGGTTGAAGGAAGCGTGACAATCATCGCTACTCTGCTCGCTGCGGATGGTCGCGAGGGGTCCTGCTTGACTTCCTTGGACTTGACCTGCTGGTCGGCAGGGCGAGAGGAGAGAAGAGACTCTGCTAAGATCTGCTTCCTGTCAGATTCCGAGGGAGAGGGGAAAGGGACCTTGGTAAGAGCATGCGAGCGGAAGGGAACATGCGTGTTAGACGTCTTGTTGGCAAGAGCATCCAGTACCTGTGCTCAACTTGAGGACAACCGGGATGGGGAAGGAGCAGGAACAGGAGCAGGAGCAGGAGCAGGAACATACCTCCTCTAAGCACGTGATAGATTTCTGTGCTGACTTGATCAATTTCTTGTCCGCAGAAGTTTCCTGTCCTCCTCCGACATCACAACCGACAAGGTCGGCGAGCAAGAGCGAGCCTGCCAGCAAGTCGGAGAGGCGGTTAGAATACAGCAGAAGCAGGGAGACGGGGTGGACAAGAAGCATGAAAAGCAGAGGGGCAGGGAGCAGGGAGCAGGGAGCAGGGAGCAGGGAGCAGGGAGCAGGGAGCAAAGGCAGGAGCAGGGGCAGGAGCAGGGGAAGGAGGCTTTACCTTTGGTGACTTTGCGGGAGATCTTGTCCTGGGATGAGATGGTGACGCGGACAAAGACAGAGGAGAAGCTGCTGCTGCCCCCCCTGTCGCCCTTGTCACGCAAGGCCCCCAGAGCCAAACTGAGCACGGCAACAGCCTTGGAGGCGCTGTCGACCGCATGCTCGGAGAGGCCGTCGAGGAGGCTGCCGGAGCGAGGAACGGGAGGGTCCTGAGGAGGAGGAGGAGGGAGGAGATCGACTACCTTGTCCTCCCGGAGCTCGAAGGCGCTGAGGAGCATCTTGGACTTCAGGAGGGACGCGCGTTCCTTCATGTCTTTCATCGCCTCCTCCATGTACCTCACCGCCACTCCTCGAGCCCTCGAGTCCAGCCGCAGCGTGCCGAACAACGTGTGCGTCTTGCCGCTCTGCCGGAGGCCGTAGGCGAGGAGGGAGACGCTGGTGCCGTCAATGACGGAGGAAAGAAGGTCACGCAGGCTGTCGTAGACCTCCTCCTGCGTCGCCTTGGGGCCGTGAGCGACGTCGAAGAAGAAATTCTTCTGCCCGCGCTTGTCCCACGTGCTCACCAGGCTGCTGCTCTTGACATGCACGAGTACCTTTGCGTCCTCCTTCAAGTCTCCCTCCTCTCCCCTAGGGGGAGCACAGCGCAAGAGCACGCGGAAGTTCCCTTGGCTGTCCTGCAGCTTCGAGTTGAGGCGACGTCGGGTGAGGTCAGTCTGGTGGTACTTGAGGAGGAGGTGGCGGACAGCTGAGACGAGGCCCGCACGCGACATGTTGGAGAGAGAGGAGAGCTGTAATGTCGATGAGGAGGAGGAGGAGGAGGAGGAGGAGGAGGAGGAGGGAGAAGTGAGGAAGTCGACGAAGAGGGAGAAATCGTTGAACAACCTCTTGAAGTCCTGCTGCACCTGCTTCATCCCTTCCTCCAGGGCCCACTTTGTCTCCGCCATCTCCTTCCTCGCTTTCAGCATGTTTGACCTGAACTCTCCGATCGCCTTCCACAGGGAGGAGGAGGAGGACTTCTGGTACTGCACCAGCAGGCTGCGGTGTTTCTCCCCAAGGCTCTTGAGCTCCAGCTGCCCCGTCCGCGTCCTCTCGTTGGCCTCCTGCAGCTCAGACTGGAGGACATCAATGACTGAGGAGAGTTCAGCAGACTTCTGCTTTAGCACCCTCCTCTCCTCCTCCATCTCCTTCATCGCATCTTCCAGCTCGCCCCGAGCACGCTCCCTCTCCTTCTCCACTGCCTCCTTCAGCTCCACCCCGAAGTCAGACAGCATCTTCGCCTTCTCCTTCGTCAGCTGGTCCAGCTGACTCTCGTACTCCTCCTGCATGCTCTCGAGCTCAGATCTGGAGGGTCCCAGCTGCGACACCGGTTGCGACGCCAACTGAGCCTCCAGCTGCCTGATCTTGGCGTTCTGCTGGGCCTCTCGCTGCATGTTGAGCTGCGATACGTCATCCAACTTGGCGATCAGCTCACTCTGTTTCCCCGCCGAAGACTCCAGCTGACCCTTCAGCTGCTCCATCTTCTTGTCAAAGAGCGCGAGGAGCTCCGAGAGGAAGCGGAGGATGCTCTGCTTCGGCTCGAGCCCGCCATGCTCCAGCGCCTTCCCGTGCAGCTCCGCCAGCTCCTTCTTGGTGATGGAGGAGGCGAAGAGAGACTCAACGTCCGCACTGCTGAGCTCCAACTCCTCCTGCTCTCTGCTTCCCTCTTGCGCGTTGATCGCTTTCCGCACCTTCAGCTCCATCTCCTTCAGCTCCTCTGCCTGTGACCTCACGACCCCGGCCAGGTTGTCATGCTTCTTCTTCTCAGCTCCGAGCGCGGACAGCAGCTCGTCGCACCTTGACTGGAGGGAGGAGAGGTCGGACGTCAGTCTCTTGTTCTCCCTTAGCAGGTCCTCCACATCTGCAGACTCTAACCGAGCCTTGAGCTCCTCGACCTCTTCCTGCAACCTGCTCTTCATGTTCTTCTTGTCGCCTCTGAACTTCGAGTTGGCTTGCAAGAAGTAGTCGTCCTCTGACGGCCTCAGCACCGAAGTTCGCCTCCACAGAACCTCCAGGCTCTCCTCCAAGATCTTCACTCGGTCTACATCCCCAAACTTCCTCCTGACCTCTTGTAACTTCTCCAGAGCTTCCTTCCCCTCGTCCGATGTCAGGTATCCTGGCTTTTGTGCGGCCGCGAGAGCCTCGTTGAGCACGTCGAAGTCTAAGGAGGACAACATCTCCACGTTCCTCGCCAGCAGCCCTTCTCTCTCCTTCTTCTCCATGAACTGAGCGATGGATGCGTCGTCGGGGTTATCCCCCAGCGACTTCAGTCCGGGCTCCCCCTTCCATGCTCGAGGTCCGAGGCCTGGCAGCCCGACCTTGCTACGGAGGTAGTCCCCGAGCTCCCAGTAGTTGTAGTCGTGCGCCACATCATAGGCTGTCTTGCCCGCGAAGTTCACAGCCCGCGGGTCTGCTCTCAGTCGGAGCAGCTCCTTGACGGTGCCTTTATGCCCTTGGGAGGCGGCATGGTGTAGGAGCGAGTCGCCCTTAGCATCCATGTCGTCCACTGTTGCCTCGCCTGCCATGATCGCCTCCCTCACTCGCTCTGTTCGCCCCACCCTCGCTGCCTTCACTGCCGCCGCCATCCCCGCCATCCCCCCCCGGCCCAACAGACCAAAAATTGACAAATTTTCAACAAACGTGTGAGGAAAGTAGGAAGTTATCAGGAAGGTGTCCTACCCGGCCTGCACGCGCAGGGCCGCGGGCCCAGGACCGGGGGCAAGGCTAGTTCCAAACATTCAGTATGACATAACTTAGAAAGTATGGCTTCAAGGAGAACTTGAAAGTGGGAGCCTGAGGATAGAAATGCGTGATATTCTACGATTTAACTTGAAGATTCATTTGTTGAACATGTATCAAGGTTCTTCTATCCTGGGTTTTTTGCTTTGTACACTATTCACATCGTTCCAAGTAACATCTTCGTCTGGCAACCGCCGCCTTCCCGTGACTGGTAGCGGCTCTTCCATCGACCCCTGGCACAAAGATAATGAGATAGAGCTGAGCATAAGAGCAAGTCACCAAGTATCCAGCAGAGAAGCGATCGTCCATGCACCAGCCCTGATTGCCCAACGTCTGAGCTTGTGACGTGGCAGTAATCAGGTTCAGCCCCTGCCAGGGAGAGTGACAAACAGATCGCGTGACGTGGGCTCACCATGGACGACATGGCAGGGACGAAGGGCATCCGGGGCATGTTGGCTGCCCTCATAGCGTCCATGAGGTTACCGACAGGGGTACCTCGCTGAGGGAGAGGATGGAGGAGGGACTGCATCGCCTGCATGCCAGGGTTCGGGTCCATCGAGAGTTGCGGGTATTGCAACCCAAGGCCTCCATACTGGACATGCTCGTCAGCACGGGAGGGCGACGAACATTCATCCCCGCTACCATGTTTGCATATGGCTGTTGCAAGTTGGGTAGGAAGTTGCTGTCCCAGCTGTCGCCCTGCATGCCCGTCACACACCAAGGGAGTGGAGGAGATGCTAGCTCCTCACCTGCACGGACAACGACGGGACACCCATCGGTAACGACCTTCCCTGGATGACATTCCTCAACGCCAGCTGTATTGCCAAGTTGTCTGTTGAGCTTGAGAACGTCTGTTGCTGCAAAAAGGATTGCAGCGGCTGCTGAAATTCAAAACCTTCAGAGATGGTTACAGGATGTGAAACGGCCACCTGTACTTGATGAGGAGAAATCCTGCTCGAGGGCTCTTGAACACGAATATCTTGATGCTCCGCGAACGATAGAAACGGATGACTTGACTTTCCAACTGCACGAACGGATGCGTCATACCAAAACAGCAGCAAGACAGAACGTACTCGTGTGCAAGGATTCCTCAGCCAAGCTGACCTTGTGCACCTCATGGGATGACTTTGAGTTTCCTTTGGCTCGAGCAAACAGAGGATCCATTTCCTTCTTGGGCCGAAACACAATCTTATCGTAATGGTTGCAGAGAATATCTGAAACTTTGTTCATCACTTCATTTGCAAGCTCCATGGTTGTTGCAGCTGTAATTGTACACTTTCCAGAAGAAAATATGTTTACAAAGACGTCTGAGTCTGCATTTCTCAGACAAGCACGCTTCAAGTACAAGCCAAGCTGCTTGAACTTGGCCTCATGACTGCCCGGTTCATCGTTGAACTTGACCCTCTCGATGATATCTGAAAACATTCCTGTCTTCAAGAGCGCAAAAAGACTATTCATGTCGATGATGCTCCCAAATTGCCCTCCGAACCCACTATTGAATGACCCTAGGATGCATTCCTTTACCACCCTTACACTAGTTGGTGCCAGTCGCGCCAACTCAAGAGCAACTGAACGCTCACAGTTGGACACAAGCTGTCATTAAAATGACTATGAGGACTAGAGTGCAACCATCATTTTACCAAGAGCGGCGGGTCTTTGTTTGACATCATGGCAATGGCCTCTGCCACATCCTTAAAGCAAAGCAGTAAAACAAAAATCAAGTCAAAGCGAGCACTCATACCAAAACAGCTGCCACAGACATAGCCCGAGTCTTACATCCAGCCGTTTGCAGCCTCCCAGTCTTGAAAAACTTCACGCTAAGACAATCGTGTCAGAGGGCATTCGATGGTAACAAGCAAACCTGATGTTTTCTGCTCCCTCTTGACGCATTCGCAGTTGCACTTGATGCTGGAACCTGTTGCCAGCCCCTCCAGCCTCCCTCTGCTGTAATTATGATTGCTGCATCACAGCATGCAGGAGGAGCTTCTACCTTGTCTGCCGCTGATTTTTTTGTTGGAAGTACGCCTCGTTCAAGAGCGCCGTACTTGAGTCCTATGATGGATGACGACGCTGGGCTCCCAACAGGACAGTTTCTTGCAAACACTTCCAGGTTTACAATGACAGAGTTCATATACTCTACACATTGAGATGTCAGTTTCGCAGTAAAGAAAGCTTAATACCTTCTGGGAAAAGCTCAAAAATACAAACTGAGCTTCCCTGCCGAAATACTCTGGGATCTGTGACCGAACTGTCTTGACTGTCTGTCGAATTGGACGAAGGAGTCCCCAAGATGCCTGTCTGAATGGGATTCCTCGTTCTGACGACATTGTTATTGCCGATGTCCCTGTTATCAGGACACCACATTGCTCAGGTAGGAACAATTCAGGATTTCATGGTGCATTTCTTGCTATGACAGATTCGTTCTTCATGCCTGGCACATACTCCAAACATGGAGCTGGCAATCCACTCAGGCTTCATGGCCTCATCATGATGCCAGCAGAACGCCACGGGCAAAGGGGATCATGTGCTTTGTTGTGTTCGCCGGAGTTGAAGTCTCAGGAGTCGGCAATCCCGTCTCGGATTCATTCACACCTGTATTTTCAGGTTCAGTGATTGAACTTCTGCATGAGCGCTCGGCAGGCGAGCACATTGCTGACGAAAGAAGGGGCGCAGTGAAGACACGAGAGGTCGGGTCGGAGGGAGGAGGGTGGAGGGGAGGTCAGGATCAACAAGTATCGTAGAGCGAAGGGATACTTCAGTGACACTTGAGGCAGATTAGATTGCATCAAGACTTCATGAGAGGGATGTTCAGAGGAACAACATTGAGGGGCGAACAGCAGTACGACCAGAAGTGAGTTCGCCGAGTGGGTCCCTCATACCTGGACTGCCCTGCTGCCCTGCCCTGCCCTGCCCTGCCCTGCCCTGCTGCCCTGCCCTTCGATTTGTAGAGACATATTTCAAGAATAGTTTCCTTTTCTTCACTGAAGACACCTTTTCTTCCTCAATCTGTCCTACGCTATTCGTTTTTGCTGTCAGCTGCATTTACAGCTGTTCGCTGCAAATTACAGGGGAGCCCCTCGACACCTTCTGCTCATATCCAAATGGCTTGTACAGCCCTTCATGAAATCTTCCACCCTCCTCTCTGCACTTGCATCTTCTCGTTGCTCTCGCTGTTGATCTCCTTTTCTTCCTCATTTCCATAGCCTCCCGTCGCCCTTCCTCCCTCCACACCCCTGCATCGCCGCCGGTGTGAGCGTGATCAACGGTGTGATGGGAAGGGGGTGGGGTAGAATTGCATGGGGGGTGGTAGATATAATTTTAGAAGACCTTGTGGGTAGGGTGGTGATCTTAATAAGAGAAGTGCTCTGAGGGTGGGGTAGAAACATATTGTTGAACCGGGGAGTAACCAGAGGTAGGGGTACAGTATAAAGGAGCCAGCGCTGACATGGCTGTGAACTTAGGGGGGTAGGGGTAAAAATGGAAAAAAGGAATCAGAGGGGGTAGGGTGTGTACTTGAAAAGAAGGAAATTGTAAGGGGGTCCTTGAGCTCCTACAAGACTCCGAAAATTCTTTTTTTGCTAGACCCCTACATCTAGGTTGAATCCCCTTCGTGAGAGGGGTGGGGGTGGAAAGGCCAGCAGATGGCTGGGTGGGGTAGTGTTCATTTTGAGGCTCAATAGACCACAGAGCAAGGGTCATTCTCCCTAGGAGAGGGGGGGTCATGTCAAAGAGGGGGTTGTAACGGTGATGTTGGGTAGGGGTGGAGAGCTGGAAAAGGGCCACAAGCCGTTCGAATCGATCGTTATTGATGTAACGCAAAAAACACCCACCCCTTATATTTACTACTGCCTACACCATGAACCCTGCAACATGGTCACTGACGTTCTGTACCCCCCTTAACCCCTGAGTCATGTCTCATGTATCAAAGGGGGTGGGGGTTACTGCGTTTGGCCTTTATCGACAGTACCCCCAATTATCCATACTGATAAACCGGTAGTGATGTGTTGTGCCTGATGTCCCTACCCTACGTTGCCTTTTAAATCCTTTTACGGACTTGAAGCATGAAAGACAACGTTTCGATAACAACACGCGGATTTGAATATGAAAAGACTTTTTTTGGATATTGTCTACTCTGAAGAATGTTTTTTTTTCGGAATAGCGCCGTGAGCTGAATAAAAAGTACTTTTTGAGTGAGACATGAGGAAAAACAAAAAGAGGAAAGGAGCAAAAAAGACAAGACAAAGCCTGCAGGGAGCACCGCATGGACGGTGACTGCAGTTGGCAGAAATTCAGCAGCTTGTCCGATCATGAGCATAAAAGAGAAGAATTCATCTCTGTATGCACACATACACGATCGCTTCGTATGAGACTTGACAAGCCTGCAGGCTTAGAAAGCAACCTATGACTGCGAAATGTTGTTGATCTACACACCTTCAGCGAGCAAGGAAACATAGGCCTGAGATAAGATGGCTATACCCTTAGAGGTATGAGGAGCTATGTACAATAAAAAATCAAGTGAACGTTGTTGCTTCTCCATCTAGGAAACAGGACAAGGTATTCTAGAAACATGGGACTACTTTGAGGTAGTGAATGTTGAAGAGGCTGGTGTGTTCTGGACCTGTTGGTTGTCTGGTTGCTGGTTCAGGCAGCCTTGAACTATAGTGGCAAGAGGTGTTATCATGAATTCAAATGAAAGAACCATGTTTCAAAGAGCAACAGCAGATATTACTGCACAAGGAGAAGACTGGTGACACCCTCATCAAGTAAGCGCAGCATCAAGCACTCTGAAAAATAGAATCTTGGTGAGTATGATTGGGCAGGAAGAGCAGCATTCGTGTTCTGAAGCATCTACAAGAAGAGCATAGTGTCATCGTTCCCTCGCATCCCCTTCCATGGTGACCGCAGTGCCTGGCGACTGTACCATGCCCATCATCCTTTCGGGCTGTCAGGCTCCACCGTCAGGCGCATCTATAGAGCAGTTGCGCCTGGAGTGACGCAACCTGCTGAGCCAGGTCTTGCAATGTTTGAACCCCCATAGCCTGTGTGAAGGCGCGGTCTAATGATTGCACCACCGTCTGTGTGAAGACAACGCGGTCTTGTCCCAAATCATCGGCGCCCCTCACGGATTGCCAATCATTATCTGAAAGACGTTCAGAGATCTGCTTGGAAGCAGCCAGTCGAGCATTGTACGACACACAGTAATCCAGAAGCAAAAACTAAAGCAAATTGGAGAGGGGAACAGAAGGAAACTTCACAAATGTACTACACCAACACTTAACACACTAACACTTAACGCTACCAAATCGTATCACACCCCGAAGCTTTACGGGTTGCAGACGTCTACAGCGCATGCTCAAGGCGCCTCCACTGGATCATACACAAAGGTGAAGTGTAGAGACATGAAATTTATTTGATAACAGTAGAGATATGAAGTTTATTTGATAACAGTAGAGATATGAAGTTTATTTGATAACAGTAGAGATATGAAGTTTATTTGATAACAGTAGAGATATGAAGTTTATTTGATAACACCAACACACTATCGATTCGTGACACACACAGCAAGGGAAAGGACAGACCACCTTAGCAGTTGTTGACGATCCTTCAATAGTCGAGGGGAATCCCCAGGGATGGTGAGGCTCCTCGCGCACGAGCGAGCATCCCTCGTGCGTCCGCTTAGGTCTGCTGCCTGCTCCTCCTCGAGGTTCACCCGATCGTCGCAAGGACAGATAAGGTGATTCAGATTCGCCCTCACCAACTCGATCTAGTGATCGTCGACAACTGAACTTATCAGTTCCAACTGTATGAGAATGCCATGACGTCCGAGTGTGTTGCATCTCACGTAACTAAACGTCCACAGCCTTCGGTACACCAAGTTGAGCCTCGGAGAGCCTTACTGAGCCTCGGAAGTCAGTAGTAGACCGTCCGCCAGTGAGTCAGACTGTACTATGTAGCTCCTGAGGTGCTGCCGGTCATAATTCACGCCGGGTCGGTGCATCATGTTGCGGCCACGGAGCCACGGAGCCGCTGCAGCGCCGCCCAATGATGCGGCCTCTACGACAAGTGATCACACACTAGGCTTAAAGGTGTTGTTGCATCCGAGCGACTCTTCGGCCCACGGTCAGGCTGATTCTCGGGCCCGTCCCACTACCACACTGGGAAGCGATCACCCGTACTCGACAGACTCGGGCCGTGCCGCGTGCTCTGTCGCCCACCATGGGTTGGGACGAGACCAAGCCCTTCAGTGGCCCGGGGAGGCTCGAGCTTGCCTACCGACCGGGCCCGGGGGCCCGGGATCCGATGATCACACTGACTCAGGCCCGCGGCTTCAAGCTTGGCCTATGTCACTATTCGGTGGCAGGGCCTGAATCATTGAATAGGCACTGGGCAGGCTTGCGGCACTCAGTGACTGATGGGCCGGGCCCGGTCACTGGGCCCGGCACATTTGTACCCGTGCAGCTGGCTTGCAGGTTTTATCTGGGCTTTTATATTCCCCAAGTGATAGGGGATGAGGGAGCAGATGGGGGCGGCAACCATGCAGGAGATGCAGGATGGGAGCTCATGGGGAGGGGGTGAGGAAGAGCAGGCAGAGAGGAAGAGCAGGCAGAGAGGAAGCGGCATGCAAGAACAGCACAAAGAGAGCGTAAGCGACGAGCGCGAGCTCAAGCCGCATGAAGCGCATGCGAATGCTTGCAATGAGTGTAGTCAACGACGGCCAAGGAGCGAGGCTTGGGTGAAGGAGGGGACGGAGATCGTGAGGCTCGGAGCTCCGGTCATCGGATCTCTTGCCCTTCAGATGGGCCTCAGCTTGACCATCTTCTTAGCGGCAGGGGGGGAGGGAGCGGCAGGGCTGGCGGGGGTTGGACTGGGGGTAATGTACGTCAATGTTACAGGGGCCTCGCTGCTTGTGGGACTGTCCTCCGCGTTGGAGACACTCGCTGCTCATTTCCATGGAGCCCAGCAGCCTCGTCAAGTCTCTCTCGCCCTTCAGCGAGCCATGGTCGTCCTTGGTGCTGCCTCCATCCCTATCGCCTTCTTTTGGTGGTTCGCTCCCAATATTCTCCACCTTTTGGGAGTGGAGTGGGAGGTGGCGCGTCTGGCAGGAAGCTTCTGCCGCTTCATGCTCGCTGGGCTGCCTGCCATGGGCGTCCTTGAAGCGCTTCGGAAGTACCTCCAAGCGCAGGGGATCATGCAGCCCTTCGTGTGGGCCTCCCTCGCCGCTAATGTCCTTCACTTGGTGGGGTGCTGGCTGCTGGTGACTGAGGACGTGCTGGGGCTGGGAGTGGCGTCAGCAGCGCTGTCTCTCTCCCTCGCCTACTACGTCTCCCTCCTCATCGTCCTCGCTGCTTGCAAGGTGTACGGCCTTCACAAACCGACGTGGCACGGGTGGGATCGTGAGTGCCTCCTACACCTCGACGAATTTCTCAAGCTTGCGCTGCCAGGAGGTACAGGCATCTGACTCCTTCACCACCCTCCCTCCTTCACCACCCCTCCCTCCCTC